CCTATTCCCCAGAACCCGTTTGTCATCCTGAACCATTTTTTGACGGTCCCGAGGCCAAGTAAGGGCCCCCAGAAGCCGAAAATGGCGAAACCTCCCGTCGTGATTTCTTCATTACTCGAGGGGATCGGGGGAGAACGCCCGTGTGGTGAGGGCGTGCGCGTTTGGTGTCCGACCACGCGCGGCTCGCCTGCGGGCAACAAAAAGAGGGGCAGGTGCGGAAGGCTCGTGTCGCTGCGTGCTCGGCCGTGGACCCCCCGTTGCCCAAGGGCCTTGCGCGGTGCTGCCGGCCGTGTTCGGCCCTCTCTCTCCAGCGGCCTTTCTGGTGGTCCTCGGCGGTGTTTGGGGCGGGCTCGGGCGGCTTTTCTGGCGGGCTTCGGCGCGAGAGCTGGACGGCTGCGTTCCACACGTGGCCCAGGAGCGGAGCGCCCGAGGCCGTGCAGACTTGCGAGGTGGCCCGCGACACGGCGGGGACGGCTCCGCCTTGAGAACCATCGTGGGGCGGGATCGCTCGGCACCTGCCGATCCCCGGGCCGCTGGGCGGTCGGGCCACTGGCGGCCTTCAGGGCCTGGAGCGCCCGTATTTTTGGGGGCTGGCCGGCGCGCCGAGACGCGGCCCGAGGCTGGCGTCCAAAGCACGGCGACGCGTGCGCGCGAGCGGAGGGACGCATCGGCCGCGCGGGCGGGGGGCGGCCTCCGCGCGGCGGGCGGCGCGGCGGGCCGCGCAGCTGGCCAGTGGGCCCCGGGCTGCTGGGGCGCCGCGGGTGCAGGCGCCCGCGGCCGCGCGCAGCCCGCACGAGCTCGCGGGTCCACAGACCAAAATCACAGGGGCGCCTGCACCCCCAGAAGGATCCGCGGGCGGGCCGCGGAGGAGCCGAGACGAGCGGCGGGCGCACGGCGGCGGACGGCGGATGTGGGGAGGAAGGGGGGAGGGCGAGGGGGACGGGGAGGGGAAGGTGGCCAGTGCCGAAGGGCTCGACGACTCCTCTCCGATCGACCTGCGGGGACCCAGCCACGTGAACGGAGGTAAATCTGCGCAGATCGCTGTATATCCAAACGCATCGAGGCAAATCCAGATGGCCCGACACACATGGAGAACTCTTGGGATCTCCAGCGCGAGCCGAGGGACACGAGAAGCCTGAACATCCTTGACGAAGGAGGGCGGCGGTCGACGGGGCGCGGAACGCAAGCGGGCGCAACCTTCAGGTGGACGCAACTACGCACGGATCTTCCGCCTCAGAGGCGTGGGCTCCGCTGGGACAGTCGGTTCGGCAGCGGCACATACGGCAAGATCCTGGCACTCCTGGCCGACGGCAACCCAGGACCATCCGCTCTATTCTTGAACGATCCCCACTCTCGGGCAGGCCAGAGATCATGAACCCCGGCTAGGGTTCAGAATCTGACGGATGTCTGCAGCCAAAAGAAACCCAGCGGGGCGTGCGATATCCCAGCGCCAACAATTCCCGTGGGGCTAGGGTTCGCACTAAGTCGCAGACCTAGACATGCGGTGCCCTGTTTTGTTGAATACGGGACCGCCGGAAATCCCGACCCCCTCCCTGGGTCCCTGCGGCCGGCTTTTCATCCCGAGTAGACTGTTAACGGCCCCGAGCCCAGCAAAGGTTCCGACAGGCCGAACGCTGCCAAAAACCCTCCTGCCTTTTCTTTGCGACGCGAGCGCGTCGGGGGATTGGAGGCCCCAATGACCGTCGCATTCCTTTTTCCTGTGTAGTTGGTGCCGTGCCCTGCATCCACACCTTCGCAGGCGCCGTGGTCTGGCGAGCTGAGCAAGCATGGGTCGTCATCAGTTTGACCCGTCGGAGCCGACGTCAGCATCCCCCATCTCTGGCGCTGGTGCCACCGCTGCCCGCTTCTGTAGAGCACCCACGCCCACTTCTTGACTTGCTGGCGCGAGGCGACCATCCTGGAGCACTCTCGCGTCGGCGTCGCCCGCTCCGGGCAGCCCCAGCGCAGCCGCGAGGCCCCCCTGCGGGCGAAGACCCACACGTCGACTGGACCACCGCGACCGCGCAGTGCAGGCCCAGCGCGATCACCTCCGGCAGGCCTGCAGTCCAGCTCGAAGGTGGGAATTAGCGGGTGCCGTGGCCTTCGGCACCTCGCGCTCTCGCTAAGCTCCGCCTCGCACGTGCGGTGCTCAGCAGGCGGACCGGCAGGCCCGGCCGCTGGCGGTGCGGGAGAGCCACGCGGCGCCAGACCTCCGCCAGCGTCGCCGCCGGCCTGCAGGGGGGTGCGTCGGACACTGCAGCGAGGGGCACTCTCGGGGCAGGCCACGCCTGCTGGGGCACCCAGGGCAGATCCGGGTGGGGCAACTGGGGTACGGTGGGGCGGCTGGGCACAAGTGGATTCGGTGGGAGGAGACAGGTAGTGAACACCCCCCTTTGCCCCCCAAACTCAAAGCTGGCACGCGCGGGGGAGGCTGCGGTCGAGGTGCAGCTCATCAGACCCACTGCCGACTTTGCACATTGGGGGGAGGTGGGGGAGGCGCTCGCAGATGCATGTGGCATGAGTGCTCGCTATTTTTGTCCGAGGACCGTTCTCCACCAGTAGGCCACCAACACCTGTGCCGAGGAGCCGAGCAGCCAGGCAAAACAGGTGCGAAGGCCAGGCGTGCCGAGCTCCTCACGCTTGAGCACAGACAGCAGCAGATACGGCCGTGTCTGCGTCGGCCCCCTTCCGTCCAGAGCCTCGCATGGAACGCCAGGCACGACAGAGCACTGTTTTCAGCATGCACTTTTGTCATCTTCATGATCGGTCGGGGAGGACGACGAGGAAGGGGAGGAGGACAAGGAAGTGGAGATCGAGGGGAGAACTGGCTGATAATGGTTGTTACCCGATCGCGGCTTCACAACCAGGCGCATTCACCCGATCGCGCCTTGATATATCCTATGGAACTAAAGGGTTCCCCAAAGCACCTTGGGGACTTTATGCGTGGGGAATTCTTGGCGCGGCTTGGCGCATCCCCACGGCCCCTGGGACTGCTCGTAATTGCCCGCGGGGAAACTGGTACCTCCAGGTAGTTGGTGCGGGCTGTGGCGGGCGTGGAGGTATTCCAGGAGGTGTTGTTAGGCTGGGCAGGGTTACATACCACAGCCAGGTGCTGGAGCGAATGACAACGCGGCTGGGCGTTACTGGAAGTCCTTCTAAAAAGAGAAAGGCGCTGGTGAATTTAGCAATGCTTTTTGGCGCTATCATAAATTATCATAAGTTGAAGCGGGTGCTGGAATGTGTGGCGATGCTCCTCGACTTTGTAAGAAGTGTCGTCAGTTCCTGAAGACTTCGGAATACTTGGTTTTGACAGAAGTTCTTCTAAATGTACATGGGCTTCGGTATGTTTGGCTATGCTCCCTGGCATTATACGTGGACTCTGGTGTGTTTGGCTATGGTGTGGTTGGCGGGTGTTTTGGTGTGATTGGCGATACTTCACGGCATTAGCAGTCGTCCTTCAAAGTACGTTTACATGGGCCTTGGAGCGTTTGGCCATGCTGCTGGACGTTACACGACGCTCTCAGAAGTTGAGATGGGGTTTGGTGTGTTTGGCTATGCTCTCTGGCTTTGTATAATAATATTGTAAGTTCACTTGGGTTCCAGTGCGCTTGGCGATGCTTCTGGGCGTTAGAAACAATTCTTCTAATTTCAACGGGCAATGCTGAAATTATAATGGGTTCGGGCCAATTTGCATGCGCGTCCTGGCGACGACCGTTTGGCCATGGGGAGCTTCCACGACGGAACGGCGGTCGGGCGATGATTGCCGCTGCGATTTGGCTCTGGAGGGCGGGTAATTCGGCGGGGGCAGTAGGATGGAGTAGAACATGGGGGATCGACTACGGTCTAGATTGAGAAGGCCTACCACGAAGCGTTCCAATATCAACACCAAGTTCGAATGGCAAAACTAATTTTCTGATAGCATAAACCCGAATGGTGAAATTCAGACCGTCTCACCTACAAATAGTCGAAAAACATTTCGTGCAAACACAATCGGTTATTGTAACACCTGTAGGCAAGCCAGGGCGCGTCGCCACTGCTTGACTCGGGCGACGACATGCTGCAGACCTGCTCTGAGAGGGCAGGCCGCGTCATGACAAGCGCGGCCAGTCAGCTGCACTGCGCAGTCCAGCCTGCCGCGTGCGCGCCAGGGGGGAATGCACTTTACGGCTGACTGTTGGGGGGAGCTCCAGTACATGGACATTATATTCGAACCCTGTGGCCCAAGGTGCCCCCCAGACCCCCGAAATTAATATTGATGGCGTGGCGACGGGGGGGGCGTGCGTGGACAGAAATATTCGAACCCCAAAGCACCGCCTTGACTGAGATCAACATTGATGTCGGGGGCGCGGGGGTGATTTAGAATCTCCCTCAAATGTGTAAGGGTTCGAATCTATTGTCCATCTACGGGTCCCAGACCGCAGCGAGCGAGTGCACGGCGAACGGGAAACTGCGCAGGGAAGCTCGGACACCGTGCGCCGTGCTCGAGGGCCGCGGAGAGCGCGGGCGGCGGAGGGCCTCCGGAGGGGGAGGCTGTGGAGGGGGGGCGGTGCGGGGGGGCGGTGCGAGGAAGTGGGTAGGGTTAGGTCGGGCGTGTCCGCCGACAGGTGGATTTTGGACGAACAATAACAAATAGTCAAACAGGTTTAAACATAGTCAAGAATACAGAAAGATCGTCCCCAGATGGTGCCTTCGCTATTTTTGAATATTCCGACCGGCTCTAGCAATAGAGGGACATGCCCGACTTCCGGGTAGGGGGGGCGGGCAGTGCAGGGCGCCGATCCGGAAGCGATGGGAAGCCTCAGCCTCGATTCTTCTTCGAGACGCCCGATGCCCCCGAATACATCCCCGCCCGCGACGCGCCCGCCTGCGGCCGCAGCGGCGAAGCTGAACGCCGGCCCGAGCCCCACGGGGCTCGTGGCGGCGGCGCCCTCCGGGCTGGGGCCGCCGCCTGGAGCGGCGGCGGCGGCCGCCGCCAGCCGCTGCAGCAGCGTGCCTGGCGCCTGGGCGGCGGCGGCGGGCTCCGTGAGAGGGCCCCGGCTGGCGCCAAAAATAAGAGGCCTGGGCCGCGGGCAGTGGTAGCGACTGGGCGGGCGCGGTCGGGCACGTCGGGGCGGGGGGGCTCTGCGATCACCAACACAGTGGAGGCCAGTCCACAAAAAACCTTCCACAAGAAACCCAACCCTGAGGCCCCATGACGTCCATGGATTTCTGGTGTGGGAGAGTGACGCCGTCCGTGGCGAAACCATCGAAACCAAAGAAACCCAGGGCACCCTGGAGGAAAGCAGGGTGTTTCTTGGCATGGACCCCCACTACATGTGTGGGGGGGGGGGCCCAAGCCCACCCCCCACCCATATGCACGATCGTTTCTGCTACCCAGGACGGGGTGTGTAGCCCAGGTGACGACCGTTACGCGCCAGAAGAGGAACCAAAATCTCCCACGGCCCGCGATGCCCCCCCCTGACGGACGACGACGACGACGACGAACGACGATAATACGACGACGACGACGACGACGACGACGACGACGACGACGACGACGACGACGACGACGACGGACGACGACGACGACGACGACGACGACGACGACGACGACGACGACGACGGACGACGACGACGACGACGACGACGACGGCGGCGACGGACGACGACGACGACGACGACGACGACGACGACGACGACGACGACGACGACGACGACGGACGACGACGACGACGACGGACGACGGACGACGACGGACGACGACCCCCCCCGGTGTCCGCGGGCCGCCACGAGTGCGCGCCGCCCGCGCGAGGGCGCACAAAGCGCTGCGCACGACGAGCCACCGCGCGGTGCCCGCGCCGCCGCCGCGGAAGGCCGCCCGCACGGCGAGCGCTTTTGAGACCAGACTCACGCCACGCGCGTCCCTCGGTAGAGGAGGAAGGTTCTATTTGGGGCTACTTCTGGACTTTGGGGATATTTCTGGAATTTTGTACTCGCGTCCTCCTCCCTGGATGCCCAAACGTCCGGCCGCTCCAATTTCTTCGATGCATGGGCTCCAGAGGTCTGGACCACTTCGGGGACCAGCGTTTCGTCCTGAGCCGCTGAGGACGTTGGGGCATCCAGGGAGGATGACGCGACGAAGGCTCAAACACATGAGAAAATCACACGGGGATGACTTTCGACGATTTGGGGCTATTTCTGGAATATTGTGTGTCCCTCTGCAGGAGGAAGATTCCAACATAGACAACAAGAATAGATGTGGGGGTGATGCTCCGACTGTGTGTGGTGCCAATGTTGGGAATGTGTGTGACTGCTGTCTACTTTTCTTTCCACATCCGCCTCTAGGAAGACACGCCCGACCCAAAACCAGACCCCCGACGGCCCGACTCTCTCAGCCTGTCGACCCCCGCGAGGCCCCGTCGACCCGTCACCCCCCCCGGGCCAGTCCGCGCTTCCTCCCGGGCCGCTCCGTGTGACGGCCCCGAGGCCTGGCTCGAGGGCCCCCCCAAAGAGGAGGACAAGAGGGCGACAGGCTTCCCGTCGAGGGGGCGTCCAAGGAAGCGCGCGCGCGCGAAGGGCCGCGCGAAGCGCGCGAGCGCCGCCGCGGAAGTCCCCCGCGCAGCGCGCCGTGGGGGGGAGGGGGGGCGGGCCCGCCCGCCGCGGCGGGGTCGCGCGGGGTTGAGGTCGGGCATGTCCTCCTACGGGCGGACTGTAGAAGAAACGTGTAAAACAAAAATATCACAGAGAGCCAAGTAGTAGTCGAACAATCGTCCCTGAATATTCCGCCTGTAGAGGAACAGGCCATACTGAAACGTAGGGGAATGGTGGCGGACCCCCAGAGGTCTCGACCCCCTCCCTGGGACTGGTTTTCTTGTTTTCTGACGGCCCCGAGGCCCGGCACGGGCCCCCAGAGGCCGAACATAGCGAAAGACCTCCCGTCATGATTTTTGTATTGCTCGAGGGGGTCTGGGGAGGCAGGCCAGGGACGACCGAGCCAAGGAGATCGTCGGAGATCTCAGGTTTGGCGTCCCCCCTCCTCCTCCTCCTCCTCCTCCGCCTCCTCCTCCTCCCCCCTCCTCCTCCTCCTCTTATAACGCGCCGGGAGTCAGACAGGCTAGGATTCCCAAAACAATTTGAAGAATTTCCAGGAATTTCCCAAGGGGGCTTCCGAAAGAATTTCCGAAGAATTTCCCGGGCACGGTGTCGGAAATTATTGTCATGCTCCCTGGGGGCGCCCCCTGTCTGATACTTCTTTTAGGGATGCCCCAGTCGCCGAAGGAGACGGAGATTGCCGCCGGATGTTCTCGGCGACATATGTGCGTGTGGGTATTTGTGTATACGCTGTGATAACATATATGACGTATATAATCACAACACGAAGCAAATTGCAATCACCGCAAAAAAAACAAACAAACGCAAACAACGAGTTCGCAACAATTAGAAAACAAACCGACCCACCGACGAAACGAAGAAAAAACAAACCGGCACACCAACTGCAATTTCCCTACCACCACTTCCGCCGCGGCCCCAGCCCACCCTCCGCCGCCCGCATTTCGCCGCGGCCACGGAAAGCGGCAGGGGCGCACGAACCCGAACTGCGCGGGCCGGCGCGGAAATCGGCCGCTCGGCTGGCCAAGGCGCGGGCGAAGGGGCCAACCCTTTCCTTGATCACGCGCGCGGGGGGAGCCAAGCGAAGGAGTAGCGCGCCATCGCCGTTTCGAACTACATCGCTGAGCACGCCAGGCGAGACCACGGGGCGCAGGGAACGTGACAGGGCGCGCGCCGGGCACCTGCCCCGCGCCTGCGCGGCCGCCGCGGCCCGAACTCACCAGCGCCGTCGACAGCAGCCCCGCTACCAAAAAGACCGCGCCCTGCCTGCCAAAGAGCGGCGTACGACGCGCGGCCCCGCGAGCGGGGAACACACACAAGCAGCCCTGCCGCCAACCCCAACCGCCACAAAACTTGAACCAAAATGGCCTCAAGGAGGGGTGGGTGGGAGGAGTTGGACGAGGAACTGGGAACCGAATGGGGGGGGGGCACCGTTTTGGATCAACGCGAAATGTCGCGAGGACGAAGGGGGGGAGGAAGCGGGACAAGGGGAGGAGGAGGAAGAGGATGAGGAGGAAGAGGAGGAGGAAGAATAATTGGAGGAGGGCGCGCCTTCGCCCCCCCTCCACGCAGAGGAACCGCTGCTGCCGACGGGGCCGTTCTCCTTCCTCCCTCCATTTCCCCCGCATTTCCCCCGGGGATAATTTTCATCCCTGGTCAGTTTTGGCGGCCCCGTGGCCCGAGGGCCCGAAAGCGGCCCGTGGAGGCCGAAACCGAGGAAGACCAATCAGCCAGGTCCGAAACAAAAGCTGCGTTTCAACAACATGTCAGTCTGCCCGGGCCCGCCCGCCCTGCTGCTGCTGGCGCCCCTCCTCCCCCCCCTTTCCCTCTCCCCCTTATTCCTCCTTTCATTCCTGTGTTCCTCTGCGCGGGCGGCGCGGCGCCGGTTCCGCCCCGTCCTTGGTCGGCCCCCCCCCGCCCGCTGGAGAGAACGAAGGGGTCAGAGGTCCGCCCGCGCTCCGCGGGGTAGCAAGCGCACGGCGTTCAGGTGTGATGGCCCCTGCCACCGACCCCGTCGCTTCCTTTTCCTCCTCTTCCTCCTCCTCCTCCTCCTCCTCCTCCTCCTCCTCCTCCTCCTCCTCCTCCCTCCCCCTCGTCTTCTTTTTGCCTCAGCGGCCGCTCGCGCAGTGGGTCGGGCGGGGGCCTGGGCGCTCGCGACCAAGGCCGGGAGAACGGCGGCTGGGCTCCACGACCCAGAACACGGGGGCACCACGGTGCGTAGGACGTGGGAGGGAACTCGCGCCGACCATTTGTTGCTCATGTGTCAGAGACCGTGAAATTCGGAAACGCCCCTTTGTTTGCTTATCCACGGCCGCCAACGACAAACCCAGGGCGGAAAAATTCGCCGGCCCAACGAGCCAGAGGCGCACTAAGATCTCCTGCGTATACCGTAACAGTACTATCGTTCTTGCGCGCGCGGCGGCCCCTGGGGGGCCCAGAACGAAAAGCACTCGCGAAGGCCCCCGCAGGCCCCCGTCGGAGATGCCTGAAGCCCCCAAGACGGTCCAAGAAGCGCTCAAGAGGGCGCCCGGACGGCCCAGGAAGGCCCCGAGCCCCCCAAGGATCGGCCCAAGGTGCCCGAGACAGCCCCACTACTGCCCAAGACGCCGCCATCTAACAACACCCCCGAGAGGGCCCACTGACGCCCAACTCATTGATTTCTCTTGGCCCTAAAACACACTGTAGCACTCTCGGCTTCTCGGCGCTTCGACCCTCCCAGACGGCCCAAGAGGCCGCGAAGATCGCCCCCTAACGGCCCAAGAGGCGCCCAAGACGGCCCCAAGATGCGCCCAAGACGGCCCCAAGACGACCCCAAGAGGGGCCCAAGAGGGGGAACGCGATCTGAAAATTCGTGCCTCCCGCCCACAGAGTGCGACAGGAGGCCCAGAGAGGCGCCAAGAACCCCCCATAGGCCCCCCAGGAGGCCTCCAAGAGGCCCAAAAACTGTTCCCAAGATGCCCCCGAGAAGCCTCCCACGAGACCCCAGCCATCCGAGCGGCCTCAGACCCACGCAACCACGCAGCCCCAGCGATGTTAGATGGGCCGGCGGAATGAGCAAAGCGCGAAGCGATTGAACAATCCGGGGGGAGCGGGGGCGGGAACGGAGGGCAGAGGGCGGGAGAGGGCAGGAGGGAGAGCAGAAAGCGAGGGCGGCTGGAGGGGGGAAGGGGGAAGGAGGAGGGGAGGACGACCAGAGCCCAGAGCAGCGTCGGCAGCGCCCATGGCGCCTGGCGGTTCGGATGATTTTCGCTCAGCGAGCCTTCAGGAATCAAAAACCGCACCTTCCAGCGCGCCAGGCGCGCCTCTCGCGTCTCGCGGGCTCAAACAGGACGCCCCAAAATAATGTCAAATGAATGCTGGGGCGCGGCTCCTCCCCCCCTTCTTTCCCGCCCATCTCCCATCCGATCCTCTC